CCTCAATTCAAGAAAAAAAGCACTTATTTTAAGAAAGAATTACTTATTAAGATTGAAATTTTTTGCAGTGCATCTGGTCTGTTCCTGTTTGGCTGTGACTCCATCCTGGAGAGAAATATCAGCTGTGCTGCTGCCATCAACACCTTTGTATATAGATGTTCGAGATCAGCCAGTTTTTCAGTGTAGTCCTGTTTTTCAGACTGTGACTGGCTGCATGAGCTCTGTTTATCCTCTGACATAGGAGTTGGCAAGGAGCTCGTCTGCCTGGCTGTGTGTTTCCTGGATGAAGACTCCTGTAGAACTGGCTTACAGTTGTCTTTTGTATCTCTGCCTATATTTCCAGGTCTGCTTCTGTCTCCTTGAACCCCAGTCAGCCTCAGCAGATGGCCGCTCACACTGAGCCTGGTTCTGTTTTTTCCTCTCCAAACTCTAGAAAAACTGAGTTAGTGTTCAAGTTTATGTCAAAGTGTTAAGTGGTAAATGTTCCTTCTTTTTAACCAGTAATGGGTTAAGGTTTATTCCATTCTATTGTACTTATAGATGTAGATATTTTGGGTGTGGCTAAAAGAGTGGTACTGTGACATCATGCAGATGGAATGTATGAAAATTTATCAAGGGAAGTTGTGTTGTGTTGCCCTGAGATGGACTGGCGACCCGTCCAGGCTGGACCCCGCCTCTCGCTCATTGACAGCTGGAGATAGACACCAGCTCCCCTCGCAAACCCAGCAGGGATAAGCGTGATGGAAAATGGATGAACAATAAACATATTCAGGGATCTGCTGAATCTTGTATAGACAAGGCCTTGTATTGCTTGTAACCGATGAGTGGGTCGTTTGCCACTTATCGGTTACCATTTGCATGTTTTCAAGCAATACAAGGCCTTGTCTATATAGAGACTCAATCTCACTGCAGATCCAGACATTTGAATTGAGAAAGCTTCCTGGAGGGGAAGCGAAACGTCTTCAAACCTTGGAAACCAAGTCCAGTGGATATTTTTTTTACTTTTACGGAATGACTATGACCTGGATGACTGAGAATCTTCATCAGCATGAAGTTCAGCAATAAAACCGACCTGTGGAGGAAGCTCTCTTTGGCCGTCTCAATCTGCAGCGTCCCTCCTTTCCACTTGGATTTGTTCAGAACCGTCAAACCTACAGGAGAGAAACAAACATAAAAACAAAATCACCAACA